CTTATGTCTGTAATCCCTGCAGCACTTGGGGAGGCCAAGGCTGGGGGATCACCTGAGGCCAGGAGTATGAGACTAGCCTGAGCAGCATAGCAAGACAATGCCCCCCCTACAAAAAATAAGAAAAAGTAGCTGGGTGTAGTGGTGATCCCTGTGGGTCCAGCTACTTGGGAGCCTGAGGCAGAAGGATCCCTTGAGCCCATGAGTTTGAGGTTGCAGTGAGCTATGATGACACCTCGCACTTCAGCGGGGCAACAAAAAAAGATCCTGCCTCAAACAAACAAAAAAATACCCTTTGTCATTGTTAAGTCAAATATGAATATTAACATTATTAAAAGAATAAAAGAATAAGATGTAAAATGTCCAACTCAAGAGATTGGGAAAGAAAGAATAAAGTGCTAGTTGACCTCCTCCTCATTCTCCAGTGGCCCTATTAGCAGGCACCCCAGCAACCTGCAGAATCAGACAGCCCAGGGTGGCTACAGTCCTTGAGGTCTGCTGGTCCCACCCTGCCCAGGAGGCAGCAGCAGAAGGTTAGCCAAACAGCTGCCCACCCAACGAAAGCCAAACTCCCAGTCTGTGCCAAGAGATTTGCAGTGGGGAAGGCACAGGCCCCAGCAAATCCCTCAGGGGAGTATCTTTAAAGAACAAGAGCAGGGATTTGGAATGCCCCAACCAGTGGGAGCTTCCCGGCAGGCAGCCAGTTCACCCAGGGCTTGGCAAGCCAGGGCCCATTAGATGGAAGCAAATTCAAGGGTGACTCACATTTACGCTCTCCTGGGCAGCTCTGTTGCCAGACGCAAAGGTGTTTCACAACACTGACACTCACGGCATCCTTCTCTGGCTAAATAAATCACTTCGTACCGCCCCCTGAGAAAAAACTAGACATGACTGAGCTTTTAACAAATCTACCAGAAAACTGTCCCTGAGAAAGACAGCTGGTCCTCTCAGACAGCTCACCAGGGAGGAGGAGCGTTCACTCACCTCTGTCACCACAACTCCGTATATTGTGGGTACTCCTCTTAGGGGATCCCTTCAGTCTTGTACAAGGACAGTAAACCATCTGCTGGATTAGACTATTGGCAACAGCCTCGATCAGCCTTGAGACTTAAGTCACCGATCAATATCATTTTGGGTGAAAAACCAGGGCAACACTATAGAATATTGGGACAGGTACCTACTGTGTTTTATACACTGGTTGCATCATTCCCAAGAAATCATTTTGGAAACGCCTGAGTTGGAATTACAAGAGTAGCTTCTCTCTCTTACCTAATCGTGTCAATTTGGACATTTTGTGGTGTCACTTCATATTTTTACCTATGATTCTTTGATTTTGATTGACTTAGGGAGGGCTTTAGTCCTGCTCATGTACAGAAAGAAGGTGTGCCTGGTGGTTAGTAGAGACTCTGAGGCCAAACTGCCTGGGTTCAAAGTCTACCTCCTCTACTTTTTAGCTACATAAGCCTAAGGAAAGAAATTGGCTTCTGTTTCCTTGCCATTAAAATAAATACCATCTTCCTCATAGAGTTACTGTGAGGACTGAGTTTACTCACATGACATACCTAAAACAGCATGTGGTACACAGGGTGCCTTCACCGCATGCTAGCGTGGCCATTTGGAGAGTTTGGCCTTTTCCTTCAGGAAATGACCTTTCCTTTATTTTTAGGCCATGTTATTTAGATGAAGCCATTATCACCTGCCCTCCACGGGTCCCTCTTGATCTAGGGTATAGGCTGGTTAATCACAGTGATTAGGGATAGTCACATATGCATAGGCCCAGGACTTTGGCTGGAACTGCTGGAGGACAGACTAGCTCACAATACGGTTGGCAGACTAGTAAAATACAAGCCTAGGGTTACAGTAGCTGCCATCCTGGAGACTCCAGGGCTTACCAGTGAATAAAGCTGGGAGAACAAGGGCACAAGGAGGTCAAGGGGGAAGGTGGGAGTGGGGAGACAGGGGAATCTAGACACCAATGCTGAAAAGCATTAAAGATTCTGAACCTTCTTGTTCTCAGTTACCTAAGCCAGTGGATTTTTTCCTTCACTCATGCTAATTTTCCCAGGTTTCCATCACTTGCCACCTGAGGAGTCTTGGCTTATATTCTGATGCATCATCATCTATACACAGCACGTCAAGATTGCACCTCTTTGGACATCGGTACCAGGAACTTTTCTCAAGGGTAGGCCGTTTCCTCGGGCACTGCTCTGCTTACCTCGGTCTTCTCCTTGGAATCTTCTTAGCCTTCTCTCCTTGATGTGAACCTTGCCAGGGACCTCTGGGCCCCAGTATCGTGGACTCTCCTCATATGGCAGCAGCAGAAGCTTTTCACCCACAATGTGCAGTTTGGGGGGTCAGAAAACTCGTGTCTCAGTCCACAAACTACTAGGAAAAGGAGATAGATGTCACCTAGCTCCACGATGCCTGTCATAACTGGGGCCATCACAGGAGAACCAGAGGGCCTGCCAGCAACAGGTGGCAGTGGGTACTGCAGGGATGCAGAGGCCAGAAGGCACAGGCCTTATCACCTCTCTAACGACACACGTGCTAGAGTCAGAACCCTAAATGGCTTGATAGCCCTCTTCTGAATTCTTAATTTGCCAGTGGGAAATTGGTTCTGAAACAGGCACATGTATCCTCCCCAGCATGCTGCTCCAAGAGAAATAATTTCTTCTTTTTTTTTGAGACAAGAGTCTCATTTTGTCACCCTTGGTAGAGTGCTATGGCATCATAGGTCACAGCAACTTCAAACTCTAGGGCTCAAGCAATTCTCTTATCTCAGCCTCCCAAATAGCTGGGACTACAGGCTCCCATCACATGCCTGGCTGTTTTTTTTTTTTTTTTTAGAGATAATGTCTCGCTCTGGCTCAGGCTGGTCTTGAACTTGTGAACTCAGGCAATCCACCCAGGTCAGCCTCCCAGAGTTCTGGGATTACAGGCATGAGCCACCATGCTCGGCTCTCTTCTGATAACCTTGAATGTGCCTGGGCAAGGCAGTGGTTCATTTCCTCCCCTGAGGCCGTCTCCAGAGCAGGCCACACCACTTCATACCCACTCCAGGCAGCCCACAGCCAGTTTTTCAGCTGACCATCCTGAAAGCTGTGGCCACTAGATGCCCTGTTCTAAAAAAATCAGATGCAAACAGGCAGGGCCAGGGGCCCAGCCTCTGCAGAGAGATGTGCCCACCCAGAGTCTGTCACAATGCAGAGTCCTGCTCTTCTGCCTGTCAGGGCACCACAAATCTACCAGCATCCTTGTTCAAAACCTTCCACTTAACATGTGGAGCAGTCTGAGTTCTGGTCTGCTTGAGAACATGCACCAGGAGAAGGAAATGCTAGAGTCAGAACCCCAAATGGCTTGATTGTCCCCTTCTGAATTCTTAATTTGCCAGTGGGAAATTGGTTCTGAAACAGGCACATTTGCCTGGTTTTCATGCTGTCCACATGTACATGACCAACACGAGCCCCTCCTTCCTCACAACACCCTTCTGCAAGTACCCTGGAAGTCTGCAATCCACGGTTCCTCTCCACCTTCCACCACTGTCTATGACTCTGTCCTCCAGGGCATCAGCAGTGAGTCTTTCCAAATCCAAGCTCTTGGCTCCTCACTGTAGATATTTCCAAGGCTCAATCTCAATCCTTGACCCATTCCTTTCTCCCTATACCCTTGAGAATTGTACCCATTTTCCAGAGTGTTGCTTAAGTAGTATTAATAATAATCAGTATTTGCAAAACACTGCAACATATGGTGTACTATAATACATATCACCTCATTCCATTTTCTCAGTAACTTCTAGAGATAGGGATGACTCTTCTCCCCTCATTTAAAGAGGCAGTATACCATAACAGTTAAGAGGACGTTTCTGGAACCAGAAAGCCTGGGTTCAAACTCCCAGCTCCACTACTTACGGGCTCCATGGCCTTGACTTGCTACCTAACCTCTCTGGACATCAGTTTCCTCATCTGTCACCAGGAATAATGGGAGTACCTACCTCACAGGGCAGGTGGGAGGAGTCAGTGAGTTAATATTTGTACAATACTTACAATAGTGCTTGGTACCACTTAAGTGTTTGTTAGATAAATAAAGCAGGGAAAGTCAGGCTCAGGAAGCTTAGGAGACTAAAGTCACAAGACCGGTAGGTATTAGCTCTACAACTTGGTCCTACATCTGGGACTCTTTCATCTATCTTCAATAGACAGACTCTATTTGCCACAGCAGGAGAGATTTCACATGGTCTAGCCTGGTCTTCTTTCCAGGCTTCTCACCCAGCCACCCTTCATGGACCCTGTGCTCCAGCCAGCTGTGCTGTGTGCACCCATTTCCAGCCTGCTTTTGCTCATGCCCGTCCCCAACTCGGAATGCTCTCCCTGTTTGTGGGATGAATGAATGAAGATTCATCAGTATAAAATCTTTTATTGATCTATTGGCCTAATAACTTTATTGAAAAAGAGAAAGAACCAAACAAATAAGTGGGGCAGGGGAGAGACTGAGGCTTGGGGACAACACAAAAAAATATAACCAAGTTGTGACACTGGATTTGACAATTTTTTGGCTATGAAACTGAAGGCACAGGCACCATAAGAAAAAAACAGGCAAACTGGATTTCACGAAAATGTTAAATATGCATCAAAACACACTATTGACAGAGTAAAAAGGCAACCCACAGAATGGGAGAATATTTGCAAATCATATATCTGACAAGGAATCAAAATCCAGAATATATGACGGACACCTAAAACTCACCAACAAAAAATACAAATGACCCAACTCAAAAATAGGCAAAGGACTTGAAAAGAAAGCATGCAAATGGACAATAAGCACACAAAAAGTTGTTCAAGATCAGTAATCATTTAAGAAAATAAGTCAAGGCTCGGCGCCTGTGGCTCAATCGGCTAAGGCGCCAGCCACATACACCTAAGGTGGCAGGTTCGAATCCCCAGCCCAGGCCCGCCAAACAACAATGATGGCTGCAACCAAAAAATGGCCGGCGCTGTGGCGGGCGCCTGTAGTCCCAGCTACTTGGGAGGCTGAGGCAGGAGACTTGCTTCAGCCCAGGAGTTGGAGGTTGCTGTGAGCTGTGAGGCCATGGCACTCTACCCAGGGGGATAGCTTGAGGCTCCGTCTCAAAAAAAAAAAAAGAAAAGAAGTCAAAACTACAATGAGATACCACGTCACCCCATTTGGGACAGCTACTCTCAAAACAAAATAAAAAATAAATGTTGGTGAGGATATGAAAAAATTGGAATCCTTGAGCACTGTTGGTGGGAATGTAAAATGGTATGACGCTTTGGGAAATAACGTAGCAAGTCCTCAAAAAATCAAACACTGAATTACCATAGGATCCAGCAATTCCACCCTGGGTATATACCTAAAAGGACTAAAGCAGGTTTCAAAGAGATATTTGTATACCCATGTTCACAGCAGTATTGCTCACAACAGCAAAAATGTAGAAGCAACCTAAATGCCCATCAAGGGATGAATGAATAAGCAAATTATGGTATATATGTGTAATGGAATGTTATTCAGTCTTTAAAAAGAGGAAATTCTAACATATACTATGACCCAATGAAACCTGAGGACATCATCCTAAATAAAATAAGCCAGTCACAAAAAAGACAGACACTTTATGATTCTGTTTACAGAGATCCTTAGGACAGTCAAAATCATAAAGATGGAAAGTAAAATGGTGGTTGCCAGGGGCTGTGGGGAGCGGGGATGGGGAAGTTATTGTTTAATGTGTACAGAGTTTCCATTTTGCAAGATGAAAGGAGGTCTGTGCATAGATGGTGGTGATAGTTGCACAACAACATCAATGTACTTAACGCCACTGAATAGTATGTTTAAAAATAGTTAAGATGGGCTCGGCGACCATAGCACAGTGGTTACGGCACCAGCCACATACACTGAGCCTGGCAGGTTCGAACCCAGCCTGGGCCAGCTAAGCAACAATGACAACTGCAACAGAAAAATAGCTGGGCATTGTGGTGGGTGCCTGTGATCCCAGCTTCTTGGGAGGCTAAGGCAAGAGAATTGCTTAAGCCCAAGAGTTTGAGCTTGAGGTTGCTGTGAGCTGTGACACCGTGGCACTCTACCAAGTGCAACATAGTGAGACTCTGTCTCAAAAAAAAAAAAATGGTTAAGATGGTGACTTTTATAATATGTGTATTTTATCACAATAAAAAAATTACAAAAAATATTCTGGGGCATATTTCCTTTAATTTCTTTCCCCCAAGGGTTTGGAGAGTCGTAAAATAAAGGAAGCCAGCTAACTATCTTAATAGTGCCACACTTGGCTCGGCGCCTATAGCTCAACCGGCTAAGGCGCCAGCCACGTACACCTAAGGTGGTGGGTTCGAATCCCCAGCCCGGACCCGCCAAACAACAATGATGGCTGCAACCAAAAAGTAGCCGGGCGTTGTGGCGGGCGCCTGTGGTCCCAGCTACTTGGGAGGCAGAGGCAAGAGACTCGCTTGAGCCCAGGAGTTGGAGGTTGCTGTGAGCTGTAATGCCATGGCACTCTACCCAGGGGGACAGCTTGAGGCTCTGTCTCAAAAAAAAAAAAAAAAAAAAATAGTGCCACACTTGTCGTTAGAGATGACAAGAACCTCAGAAAACACCTAGCCTAACCTCCTCCTGTAAGATGAGGAAAGTAAGACCTTGCCTGGTACGAATTATTCCTCCCAAGGGACAGACCCAGCAGAAACTTCCAAGGCTGGGCCCACTGAAGAAAGCCATCAATGATGCTGTCAGCCACAGGTGGGAGGACTCCCCGGGTCACACGGCAAAACCACAGCCAGGTTTTTTGTTACTCAACCATCTCTGCAGTCTTTGCTGTGGCATGTTGGGTGATGCAGAACACGCTGTCCTACACTCTGAGCCACAGACTGTCAGTAGATTTTTTCAAAGGGCAACTGGGCTCTCTCCCAGGCCTCCACCAGCAATATGAAAGCTGCCTTCACTGCTCATGTTTCCCAGACAACATGGACAGTGGAAAGGCCATTTCAGCCCCACAAAATATCCAGAAGCAAGCAGCTGGACTCATGCTGAAGGATGAAGACAACTCCCTCAGGGAGGCCTCAGGCCCCAAGAGACGTGTGCTTTAGGAAAAGGGAAGGAAAAGCTGGGGTGTGACACAGCTCTCTGAGAAGGCTTTAGCCACCTAAAGGGAAAACAAGTCCTCATCACAGAAATCACTTTTCCAGCTGCACACGAGAAAAGAGTCTCTCCTTTGGCAGGACACTGGACACCCCAGCCTGGCCCTGCCCTTCCCCTCAGTAGGAGAGGGCAGAAATGCTGGACCAGACCAGGTCAAATCTCCCCCAGGCCATTCCAAGTTTGTCTGGTGCTGCTGCCAGATGTGGGTGTGGTGAGCCAGCAGGCAGCTGGGCCAAGGGTCTGCTTAGGAACTCCTGCTCAGATGCAGAGGCCAATGGCACTCTGGGGAGCTCAAGACTTTAACAAGTCCAAAGCCACATTTTGCTGCTTCTGTCTCTCAAACCTGCTTCTTCCACATTCCCCCCCATCTCATGTATGGCAGCCCCATCGTCCCCACCACTCAGATGCGTAACTTTGGAAGCACTCCTGATTCCTGACATTCTCTCATGTCCCACGTCTGCTCCATTAGCAAATCTGTGGGCTCTCCATCTGACAAGTACCTAGAATTCAACTGCCTGACTGCGTCTGCACCGCCACCGCTCTGCTCTCAGCTATACCACATCTTCTCTGGATTATTAAAATAGCTTCCCCATGGGTGGTGACTGTGGCTCTCAGGTTCAAACCCAACCCTGGCCAAAACTGCAAAAATAATAATAATAAAATAGCTTCCCCACTAACCAGCCTCCTTCTGCTCTCCCCAGCAATGCAGCAACCAGAGTGAGCTTGTTAAAACAAAGGTCAGGGCTCAGCGCCTATAGCTCAACCAGCTAAGGCACCAGCCACATACACCTAAGGTGGCAGGTTCGAATCCCCTGCCCGGACCCACCAAACAACAATGACGGCTGCAACCAAAAAATAGCCGGGCGTTGTGGCGGGCGCCTGTGGTCCCAGCTACTTGGGAGGCGGAGGCAGGAGACTCGGTTGAGCCCAGGAGTTGGAGGTTGCTGTGAGCTGTAATGCCATGGCACTCTACCCAGGGGGACAGCTTGAGGCTCTGTCTCAAAAAAAAAAAAAAAACAAAGGTCAGAATAAGTCACAGCTCTACTCAAAACCCCAAACGATTCCAACATCACTCAGACTAAGCTCCAAATTGTTACCCAGATCTGGTCTGGCTCTCCATGACTGCCCTGATCTCATAATAAAAATCGCCTTTTATTTCTTCCCTTCCAGCGCACTGGCCTCCTCACTATTTCTCAAACACATCCATCATGCTTCCTCCACCTCAGGGCTCGTGCACTTGCTCCTTGCTATGCAGAATGTCCTTTCCCCAGAAATCTTTGTGGGATCCTTTCTCTTCCCTTAGGTCTTCTTTTTTTTTTTTTTAATTGAGACAGTCTCACTTTGTCACCCTTAGCAGAGCCATGGAGTCACAGCTCACAGCAACCTCAAACTCTTGGGCTTAAGCAATTTTCTTGCCTCAGTCTCCCAAGTAGCTGGGACTATAGGCACCCATCACAACACCTGGCTATTTTTCTGTTGCAGTTGTCATTGTTGTTCAGCCGGCCTGGCTAGGTTCGAACCCGCCAGCCTCAGTATATGTGGCCAGCGCCATAACCACTGTACTACGGGCTTTGAGCCTTCCCTCAGGTCTTAAAGTCACTTTTTCAGCAAAGCTTTTCCAGTGCCTACTGTGTAATATTTCGTACCCACCTCCAACACTTGACGGCTTCAGTCTCTCTTTACTTTCTGTCCTTAACACATGCATGCGTAATATGTATCTTGATAATGTCTCTCTCTTTCTCAAGATTGTAGGTTCCATGAAGGCAAGGAAGTTTTGGTCTGCAAATTTTTTGGTCATCGCCTAGGACTACACTGGCACATAGTAGGTGTTCAATGCACGTGATGAGTGACTGAACAGAGGACACCAGACATCTTGGCACACTAGGCATTTATCTCTTGCCTGTTTTGCATCAGAGGAGCAGACTCTACTCTTTGCCAGCCAAATCCATCCTCCTTTCTCCCTAGCTATAGAACCCTGATTAGATGCAGGGCAGCCGACGTGCTGACAGAGAGCCTGGGGTGGCCGTTAGACCCAGTCCACAAGGGTGGAAAGCTATCCATTTTCTGATAAAAAGAGACAGGTTTGGCTGTGGCTTTTGTCCTTTCCCTTTCTCCTGACTGGAACTCAAAGCCAGTGACTGGAGGGGAAGCCGCCAGTTTTTGACTATGTGGCTCAAAGTCCCATGGAATGCAGAGCAGAAGACTGAAGTAGCCCAAGTCACTTCATGAATTGTGATACCACTGTACCCAGCCACACTCAAAGGAGTGGCTAAGTTGACTCCTTTTGGCTAAGTCCCTGTAATAAGAGTTTCCTTTACATGTTGTAAAAACCAGTCCTAACTTGGCATAAAAGAGAGATGGTGGAGAGGGCAGACCATGCTGTGTGTGAATATTTTGGTACAGTCCAACTGCTGATAAGGGTTGGAGGTATAGGGGCTTCCTTTATCCATCCCTTTCCTTCTCCCATCTATCCTGTCTCGATCTCCTCAATCCCCAGTGCAAACATCCCCACAACCCTAACTTGCTCACCCTTTGATAACTCTGAACAGAATCAAGCATCCTAATCATGAGAGGGGGAGGGACTCCAGTAACAATGTCCCTTTCAGCAATGCACTAACACCCAAGCTAATCTGAGGACATGCTTCAGACAGCTGAATTTTCTGAATTGGTGGAGTTTTGCCACCTTAAACCATCAAAACTCTATTTTACAACTTTAAGCAAAATTCATGAATACCTATCATATATCTCTACATTTTAAAACCAAATGCAAAAAAGTAATAATTTTCGTAAGGATTGAAGGCCAGTAAATCTCAAAATACATGGAATTCTGACCTGGAAAAGACCTTAGAGATCAATTCTAGTGCAACTGCTTTATTTTGGAACCTTAGAGATGGTTGTTGCCTTGCCCACAATCACTCATCTATAGGACAGCACAGTGAGCCATTACGATATGATCTGAAGCATGGTCATTCCCTCAAGGCCGATAAAGGCAGAGTTATTTCCTGTTATACCCCATGTCTTGCATATTCTCTATCTCCTTTTTATACTTTCTCTGCAACTTATTTCACCCTTCGACTGTCCCTTATTCCCCAGAGTATATTAACTCTAGTTTCCCCTATTCAGCTTCTCAAGGGTCTGTGTATAAGAGTTAACACTGTCCCATGAGAAGGATTCAACACAAAGTTCTCCAATTATGGACTCTGTGAGACATATGTCATTTCCTCCTGCACCTTTGAGGAGGACTAATCTTGTACATCTCAGCACTCTGCAGATAAATGACATGACTCGGGTAACAGTGGTTCTTTCAGAAAAACAGGGACCCTTGAAACAGCTCAGAGCTCAGAAACTACCTTTAATAATTTTTAAGTGGTAAGAGGTAAACTGCTGAATTTAAAAGCAAGGCCACTGTGTCCTGTTAGATTTTACATCACCAGAAAGGCAAGTCTATAATAGTCAGCAAACATGTTTTATACTGAAAGATTGTCATTACAACTTTCCAGATGGCCCCAGTCTGGAAAATAGGGATTTCTTAAAGATACCATAGGAGTCCAGCATCGGGAGGCTACAGCAAAAGGATCGCCTGAGTCCAGGAGTTTGAGGTTGCTGCGAGCTATGACGATACCACTGCACTCCACCTGAGGTGACAGTATGAGACTGTCTCCAAAAAATAAATAAATAAATAAAAATGCTCCGAGAGAGAAGCTATGCTAAGCACAAGAGTGAGATGATACGGGGTGGTGCCTGTGGCTCAAAGGAGTAGGGCGCCAGCCCCATATGCTGGAGGTGGTGGGTTCAAACCCAACCCCAGCCAAAAAAAAAAAAGAGTGAGATGATAGCTTTACCACAAGACAACAATGACAATGATTAATCAGTTTTTCCCTTATTTTTTATTCTTTATCCTCATTGAGACAAGCAAACTAATTACGTTCATAGTGCTAAACCTAAAAATATTATTTTTAACTAGCTTAAAGGAATAGTTCTTCTGAATACATTTTTTTCTGATGGCTGCATCTGAGACAGAGGCCTAAAGAACAGAGGCTGTCCTCTCCCTCCCTCCCCATGATAGCCACCCTGCCACTGGTTTCCAGACACTCCCATGTGCCTGTGCTCTCATCTCCCACCGAGCTACCCGACACGCTCACTGAACACCTGCTCTGTGCCCAGGTCTACCCCACAGCTGGGCACAGACTATACAAGACATGCCCGAACCTCTCATCTCCTGAAGCGTACGCTAGGGGGAGGGGACACAGACACTAACAAATAAACAGTCAAGATATAAAATAATTCCAAGTAATAGTGGATGCTAGGAAGAAAAAGGCTAAGGTAAAGGGAATGGGTGGCTGGGTTGGGAGTGGGTCATTAGAAAAGGAACGGCGCTCTGAGGATGTGACATCTGAGCAGAGACCAGAAAGGGATGCAGGCCAGGGAAGAGCCCTTGCCAAAGCCCTGAGGCTGGAATGAGTGTGGCATGTTTAAAAATTAGCAAGAAATCTGGAGAGAAGCACAAGAAGAGGAGAATGGTAGACTCTGGAGACAGTTAGGGGCCAGATTACATAGCGCACTGTGAACCAGGGGGACAAGTATGGGTTGATTCCTCATGAGAGAGGAAGCCGCTACAATGCTATCAGTGGCTTGTGCCCTCAGAAGGTTACTCTAGGTGAAGAGTGGCCCACAGGGAGGGGAAAATTGTGGTGGCAGGGACACCAGTTAGGAGGCCTCTGCCATAGCCCAAGTAGAGATGAAGTCTTAGACCGGAGTTGTGATAACAAAAGTGGTAACAAGTGATTAGATTCACCAATCTCCTTAAAGATAGCTGACACTGTAGAGCTAAAAGAAGCCTAAGAAGTAACTCATTCTAATTTTTCACTTTACAGATGATGAAAGTGAAGCCCAAAGAGATAGAGCTATCTATAGTCACATATCTAACGACTGACAGGGCCCACATTTGCTGACTGCCAGGCTAACCTGGGGTGGGAGGTGGGGGGTGCAGAGGAGAGGTAGGCACAGGCACCCTCTAGAACTGCAGCAGTCCCCAGCCCCACTCCCCCACCACACAGCGGGAGGTGAGTGGTGTTCAAGCAAGCAAAGCATCATCTGTATTTATAGCCGCTCCCCTTTACCTGCATCACAGCCTCGGCTCTGCCCCCTGTTAGATAAGTGAGGTCATTAGATTCTCAGAGGAGCGAGAACCCCTCTGTAAACTAGGCTTATGAAGGATCTTGGCCAGTGATTTTCCACTGGTGTGCCGCAAGAGGATCTTAGGTGTGCCAGGAAAATCTTTAAAGATCATTAATTAAATTATTTTCTGAGGAAGTTCAAAGTACAGTAAGCATAATTATTTTTATTTTTATTTTTTTTGAGACAGAGTCTCAAGCTGTCACCCTGGGTAGAGTGCCGGAGCATCATAGCTCACAGCGACCTCCAATTCTTAGGCTCAAGTGATCCTCTTGCCTCAACTTTTCTATTTAATAGAGATGAGGTATTGCTTTTTGCTCAGGCTGGTCTTGAACCCATGAGCCTAAGCAATCCACCTGCCTTGGCCTCCCAAAGTGCTAGGATTGTAGGCGTGTAGACCCGACCATTCTTCAGAGCTCCAGATTCATATCCACCCACCTGGTAGATGTTTTCTCCCGTATGTCACAGCCAGGCACCTCAGTATAATGTGCACAAAATGGAATCATCATCTCTGCTGCTACCATCCCAATGTACTATTCTTCATGTTTTCCTCTACCCTAGATAAAACATCCCCACCCATCCAATCCCTCAAGAGAGATACCTAGGAGACAGATCATTCTTGCCAGGTAATCCTAACTAATGCCCTGACCAACAGTTTCTGACTGTGTGACTTTGGGAAGGTTAATGAACATATCTGAGCCTTAGATTTCCACACTGGCTCTCTAGCATTGGATGGTATAAAGCAACATACAGGGGTTTGTTCCACTGTCTATCACAGACATCCAGGGCATCGCTAAATTCTAACTTAAAACTTCATCCTCACTGCGTTTACTGCAGCTCAGAGCCCCACCATCTTTCCAGTGAATTACTAACAGATGTTTCTATCTCATCTTATCTTTGATCTCGCCCCCACTCCAATCTGTCCTCCCCACTGTTGGCAGACGGATCATCCCCTACACAAGCCTGACCATGCCATGCTTTTCACTACCACCCGCAGAATTTATTCATTTGCAGATACCCTCCGCTTCCGCTATCCCGAATGGCTCACAGTTGTCCAAATACTCACTGTTGTTCTCCAACTCTGTGGACTCTGCACACTCTTCTTGTTACCCAGGATGCCCTTTCTCCTTCTTTGCCCACCTATAGACAAGCTCATCCTTAAGGCTTGGTGGAAAAAGGTCACTATAAAAGTCAAAGAAAATATAGATTGGCTAAAAAGACTCACAGGCAGATTCAAACCCTGACCTCCCTGGTGTCCCAGAAAGGAAGGAAACTGAAAGACAGAAAAGGACAAGAAGTAGTAATTTAAAATATCTGCAAACAGAGAAAAGCAAAAGAGGAATGGAAGAGTTAATCTTCAAAGAAGAGAAGACTTCCTGGGCATGATAGAAAACTTGAAAATAAAGAAAAATTACATAGATCTAACCCAGTGGTTCTCAACCTTCCTAATGCCGCTGCCCTTTAATACAGTTCCTGTGGTCTCCAGTCACAGGTTGAGAACTGCCGATCTAACCTCATAAAATTTAAATGCTTCTGCACAATCAAAGGTATAATAAGCAAAATTGGGGGAAAGACATAAAAGGCAAGATGTGTGATTTATTAACAAGGAACCAGGTGCTGGTTCACTCCTATAATCCCAGCATTTTGGGAGATCTAGGTGGGAGGATCTTTTGAGGCCAGGAGTTAGAGAACAACCTGGGCAACACAGCCAGACTCTGCCTCAAAAAACAAAAGAAAAAAAAAAACCACTTATGAAAGCTATAACCCAATTATAGCCCAAGGAGAGGGATGGGAGGGGAGGGGGGAGGATGGGTAGAGAGGGAGTAATTGGTGGGACCACACTTAAGGTGCATCTTACAAGGTTACATGTGAAATTTACTAGGTGTAGAATATAAATGTCTTAACACAATAACTAAGAAAATGCCGTGAAGGCTATGTTAACCAGTTTGATGAAAATATTTCAAATTGTATACAAAACCAGCACATTGTACTCCATGATTGCATTAATGTACACAGCTATGATTTAATTAAACACACACACACACAAATAAACAAACAAAAAGATTAAAGTCAGAATATTCGCTCCATGCCCATAGCACAGTGGTTATAGCATCAGCCACATGCACAAAGGTTAGCGGGTTTGAACCCAGCCCCAGCCAGCCAAACAACAAAGACAACTGCAACAAAAAACACCGGGGCATTGTGGCAGGCACTGTAGTCCCAGCTACTTGGGAGGCTGAGGCAAGAGAATTGCTTAAGCCCAAGATTTTGAGGTTGTTGTGAGGTGTGATGCCACAGCACTCTACCTAAGGCAACAGCTTGAGACTCTGTCTCAAATAAATAAATAAATAAATAAAGTCAGAATATTACAAACAATTCAACAGAAGAATCTATCAGTTATTTAAAATGCACGTAACTGTGATATGGAATGGTCTCCAAGATCTAGGTTAAACTTTTAAAATACCATTACAGAGTGGTGCCTGTGGCTCACTGGGTAGCCATATACTGAGGGTGGGGGGTTCAAACCTGGCCTTTGCCAAACTGCAACAAAAATAGCCAGGTGTTGTGGTGGGCGCCTGTAGTCCCAACTACTTGGGAGGCTGAGGCAAGAGAATTGCCTAAGCCCAGGAGTTGGAGGTTGCTGTGAGCTATGATACCATTGCACTCTACTCAGGGTGATAAAGTGAGACTCTGTCTCTAAAAAAAAAAAAAAAAAAAAAAGATAAAATGCCATTACAAAATAGAGTATGTTATATGCTGCCATATTTATTTTTGAATGGGAGCAAATGGAAGATATATTTTATTTGCCTGTAGGTACATGGGCCATCTCTGAGAAAAATGTACAAAAACTGCCAAAATTAGTTGTATTCAAAAAGGAAAAGAGAAGGAGTAGGAAACAGGAGTCAGAATTTTAAACATCATACCTTTTTTTTTTTTGAGAGAGAGAGAGTTTTACTATGTCACCCTTGGTAGAGTGCCGTGGCATCAGAGCTCACAGCAACCTCAAACTCTTGGACATAAGCCATTCTCTTGCCTCAGCCTCCCTAGTAGCTGGGCCTACAGGCACTTGCTACAACACCCAACTATTTTGTTGTTGTTGTTGTCATTATTTGGGAGGCCCCAGCTTGAACCTGCCAGCCCTGGTGCATGTGGCCAGCGCCAAGCCTGAATATCATACCTTTTGAATATATAAGTAACGTTAAATAAATGCTGTAAATAAATGTAATCTCTTCCTCTGCACACTCTCTCAGAACTCAATAAACAAAGAGAGCTCTGCTTAAATAATTACTTAAAATCCACGTTCCCTTTGACCCACCAATTCCACTTCTAGTAATAATTTTTATCTAGAAATACTCTATATCAGGCCAGTAAGGTAGCTCACGCCTGTAATCCTAGCACTTTGGGAGGCCAAGCCAGGTGGATTGCTTGAGCTCAAGACTTCAAAACCAGCATGAGCAAGAGTGAGACCCTGTCTCTAAAAAAATAGCCAAGCATTGTGGCCAGCTCCTGTGGTACCAGCTACTCGGGAGGCTGAACCAAGAGAAATCATACGAACCCAAGAGTTTGAGGTTGCTGTGAGCTATGACACCACAGCACTCTACCAAGGGCAACAAAGTGAGACTGTCTCAAAGTGAGACTCTGTCTCAATATGACTCTGTCATATTGTTAAATCACAAAAGTACATCATGGAGCACTATTATATATGACCCCCATTTATGTATTTCTTTTAATAGATGAAGTCTTGCCATGTTGCTCAAGCTGGACTTGAACTCCTGGACTCGAATGATTCTCCTGCCTTAGCCTCTGGTGTAGCTGAGACTACAAGCACACACCACAGCACCAAATGCTTCATTTATGTATTTTTAAAAACACAGTCAATATATTCAGGTTGGTCCTAAAGTTAGAAATATAGATATTATTTTATCATGTTTTATACTGTAACATCAATAAACAATGTTTTTATATAGTCACATATATTTGCAGACTTACTGAGTATATACTTATATATTGAAAAAGACCTGAAAATAAATACATTTGACGTGGTACCTCAGCTTGGCATCTGTAGCTCAGTGAGTAGAGTGCCAGCCACATACACCAAGGAGGCTGGCGGGTTCCAGCCAGCCCAGGCCTGTTAAACAACAATGACAACAACAACAACAAAATAGTTGGGTGTTCTGGAGGGCACCTGTAGTCCCAGCTACTAGGGAGGCTAAGGCAAGAGAATCGCTTGAGCCCAAGAGTTGGAGGTTGCTGTGATCTGTGACACCACAGAACTCTACAGAGGGTGACATAGTGAAACTATCTTGAAATAAATAAATAAATAATACAAAAATAAAGTGGTTACCTCTAAGGGATTAGAGGTGGAATGAACTTTAATTTCCTTTCCTATGTTTCTGTATTTTAAAAATATTTTCTAATAATTCATACTCTCAAAAATGCTACTATATTCTAGTATATCTAATCTGTTTGCTTTAGATTATTTACAAGTGTGTGAGGGGTAGGGCTGGGAAGTCCACATTAGACTGTGCTCTCAACGGTGTTCTCTAGCCTATTACATGAGTACAGAGCAAACACAAAAATAAAATTGAAATGCACCTCCTCATGCTTTCCCCCTGGCTTACTGAACACTTCTCTTATGCTCCCAGTGTTCCCTGAACATATTTGCAAGAATGCCATCCTGCTGTGCTCATAAAACTTGTGCAAAGAAATAAACAGATAAAAACTAGTTGTAAGCTTTCTCTCTTGCTATAGAAACAGTCACAGATAAGATGAGCACTGTTTGAATGAATGAAGTACTGAGTCATATAGTCATTCCATCCTCCAAACCCCAGGCAGCACTGATAACTAGCTCTAGTTTTGTTGGCTTTTGTTGTTAAAAAAAAAAAACAGCAGAAGGATACCACTTCCCTCTTCCATTCATGCATCTCAGCATGACAGTAAACGCTCCCAGAGGTCTAACACACAAGTTGCAAACTGGCAATCTGCAGGCCACTACCAGCCTGCACACGTAATTTGTTTATCTCACATATTTTTGAAAATGTTTTGAATTAGTTGCCATCCTTAAGGATAGGGAGGTTTTTATTTCCCCCACAATAATTAACAGCTTCTCCCCAAACTCAGACCAGGCAACAATATGCTGAAGCCTTGTCCCACCTGCACCTTGTGTAACTCTGCACACAGACCCCCGACCAACTCTCCTCCCCCCATGCCAGCACTCAGACTTCCTGACCGGCCCAGTCAGCAGTGGACTTTACTACTAAGAACTGCACCTCCTTCTGCTGACAAAAGGTAGTCAGTTCCAGTTCAGCCCACCCTGTCTTCCAACAAACTCAAACAGAAATCACACCCCTCTGACCACACACAACTCCTTGTCTCTCAGGGGACTCCATCTGGCTGTAACACAAAGAGAAGAGTGTGAATATTTGAGGCCTTGGACTTCGCATCTTCATGCTGGGTCTCTATTCTCAATGTCATGGTGGTGGAGCTGGAGGGCAGGGGAAGTTCAGAGTGAAAGGACCTGCCTGTGTGATGCCTATGAGGAAGCCACGGGAAAAGCATTGCCAAGTCAAAAGACCTGAGTTCAATCTCAGCTGTTTATTAAGGGATCAGAGTACTCCACCTCTCCTGAGTCTCAGTGTTCTCAGGCATCAAATGGGCTACTAGAGCTTTACCAGGCTGTTGTGAGAGTGAATTTAAAAAGTGTACACAAAGTGCTTGTGAGCACCGTACAAATGCAAGGTGGACGTGGATGAGCCCAGGAAAGGGGGTGCTCTACAAGAAGCAGCAGGAATGGGAGGCATGCATCCCCGCCCACTTGGATGAAGAGCCCCAGTAGGTGTGATCTGAGGTCCCTCCCACTCCTCTCTTTGCCCTGAGGGCCTGGGAAAGGCTCTCTTCACCTGCTGCAGTAGAATGGAGATTATAAGAAAAAAACATCTATTCCCAGAAGCACTCACGCTCCGGAGCTCATGTAGGGGTCCAGATCATGGGGCAGGGGAGAAGAGACCAGACTGAATCCCCAGTTTGCTCCACGGAGGAGGGACAGGGATGACTGTCCTCTTCCAGCCTCTAGGACGCTCAGATAGGACCACCTGATGTTATCAGTATCCCCATTAGACAGATCAAGAAACTGAGGTCCTTTCCTTCCAAAACTACAAACCACTCCTTCACAGGGAGGAGAATCAAAGGAACTGCTCTTGAAAGCACTTTGTAAAAGAGATGAAAGGTGTAATAGCAAACAAAAATAGCTTCAAAGATGCGACACACAGTGATGCCAAGGAAATGCGTGGCTGCGTGGTTACTGGGGGTGAGACCTCTCTGAAGCACAGGAAACCATCCCAGCTGTCCAGCGGACGTTCTCATCCCACATGCCCTTGCCCCGAGGTTGCACAAGGGTTAAGCTCCAGCCCAGAAGGGGGCCGAGAGCAGGCCAGTTAACCAAATCCCCCTCTCCCAGACTGAGGGGCAGAGGCGCCCACCTGGCGGCGCCGGGCGACTTACCTGCGCGCCGCCCGCCCAAACTCCGGGAGACAGCGCCCCGAGTCCCGGCCCAGAGAACGCTGCTCACCTGGTCCTCACGGATTCCAGTCGAGGGTCGTGGTCGCCTCGCCCCAGCCCCTATCCCCGAGCCGAGCATGAAGCTCCTTGGCCCCGGGGGCGCGGTTCCCATCAGCAGAGTCCCGGGCACTCGCGATGCCCTCCCTTATCCAGGGTCGGGGGTTTCGGGTGGCGCCAGAGAAAGGAGACGGCCTGCATCCTCCAGTGGGGTGGTCCTCTCATTAGACCCTGGCCGCAGGGGAGGGGCGCGCCCCCAACATCTTCCCACAAAGAGCTCCAGCTCTCCAAAGAGAGGCACAGTGTGGCCGGAGGGACAGTCCCCTACCTCCAAAAGGGGGTCAGGGAGAAGAAAAACGCTGTGGGGGTGGGGAGGCCTGGGGGAGGGGGCGCAGAGACCCTTCCCGGCCCGCGCCTCCCGCCCTCGATCCCCACACAATGAACTCGGCCTGGCTCCATCCCTCTCCGCCCCTCCGCCGGGGCCCGCGTCGCCCCCACCGCCGGCTGAGTCCCCCGCCCGGTGCTCACCGAGAGCCGCCGCCGCGGCAGC